GGCTCCGAAGAAGCCCAGCAGCTTCCAGTGCTGATGACGATGCCCCAATGATGAAGGTTTTCCCGGGGTCGTGTTTGACGTGGAACATGGACTCGACAGGTGTGCTGAATTCTTTTATCCCGGGGATATCCGGGATTTTTGGCCGCATCACTGGCACCAGGACGAGGCACTCCGTTCTGACGCTTTTGCCTTCGTCGAATCGAACTTGAGAAAAATTTAGGAAATTATACTTATCGAAATTATAAATCCAAACAGCGCTGTTTGAACCGTAACAAAAAATTGTTTAAATGACTAATGATTTCCTTTGCAGGACACTTTTGATAAAGGCAATTTAATTGTAGCTGAGGAATGATCCATTATTTCATGAAGTCATCATTTGTCCTTGGACAACCAGGAAACCAATCAACTTATTGGAGACTATGGAAAATTTGAGTTTGGTACCCTAAATTTTGTCAGGAACCATGTTGGTATGTTAACTGAGGGTTAACAGTATTGTACAGTACTGTACTTGGAATATGGAATGCTGAAAGGTCAATGTTTCATTTCCTCCCTTTTGTGGGGATATTGCTCAAGAATTGTCTTTTAACAAATGTATTTTTCCTGGTCCCAATAATGGCTTTGCTGTCACAAGATCCTGCCCAGGTACAGATGATAGGAAATATTCCTCAGGGTAATAAATGATCCAAAGTAGCAATGAAATCTGCCATCTTTATTTGAAAATTTGGAAAGACAATGGCAGTTTACATTATCTGATTAAAAATAAAAGTTGGCTTTTCTCCTAATAATGCTTCAAGCAAATTTTCACCTGCTGAAATAAGTAATACCGTATTTATTTTCTTTTAGAAAATATTCCGTCAAGCCCTCCTTTCTAATTTTTGAATACACGGTCCACTAAAGTTGCTTCATTGATTCTTGACTTAATGTTTGCAAAAAAGCATAAACTTTTCAAATGCCTGCCTCTCAAACAAAACTTTTTTTTTGAGTCTGCAAACATTTTATGAAACTTAGCTAGTCTGCATAATTTTTTGTGGAAATTTGCTGGTTTGCAAAGAATTTTATGGAAATCTGCTGGTCCACATAGGCCCAAAAAGGTTGGGGAACCCTGGTCTATAAATAGACCAGATCTTAATTTTCTGCCCATTGACATGCGTCATCTGCTGGGAGATTGACAGAGCAAAGAATTTTATGGAAATCTGCTGGTCCACATAGGCCCAAAAAGGTTGGGGAACCCTGGTCTATAAATAGACCAGATCTTAATTTTCTGCCCATTGAGTACGCAGTAGACGACCCTCTAACTGTCTAAAAAAAAAAATAAGCGAGAGGAGTATGTGACATCATATAAGAAAAAGTGGACACAACCGTAGCTATTGGCTCCCGTTCCTGGACTCCTATAACTGAGTGTATTGCTCCAGGTCTTCCACGGCTTCCCTGCGAGTTGTTGTCTCCATCAGGGCTTTGGCATTCTGCGTGAACTGGAGCCAGTTGTGGCGCAGTGTCGTCGGTGTCGATTCCTGCTGCTGCTGTTGATGAGGACTCATCTGACTGGACACCCTTGATGACTGCTGGAGTTGCCAACCGAACGCGTATGGTTCACCAGAGAGTATCATGCGAGATATTTCAGCCGCGTGTCGCGCGAGGATTCTGATGACGGAGCGGAAGTCTGCATGGGCATATTTTTTTTTGCGGAACAAATATAAAAAAGGCCATTTGTGCATATAACGCAATTTGTTGTACAGGCTAAATTTACTTTTTAAACAGCTTCCAGGGAACTCCAGAAATATTTGGTCTCACAAAAAAAAAACAATTTCGGAATATTTCAGCCGCGTATCGCGCAAGGATTCTGACGATGGAGCAGAATTCTGTATATGGGCATATTTTTTGCAGAAAAAAGTTGTTATCTGTGGAAATTATATGACAATTCCCCGATATATATTGCGAGAATATTTGCTGTCAAGCAAATATAGATACTTGGTGTTATTCATAACACCAGGAAGAGATAATAGATTAATATATGAAAGATATTAATATTCTTCCATCCCAGTACATGTGGACTGACAGACACAGACTGACAGAAATGTGCATGGACCCCTGACAACTGACAGACATGCGCATGTACCCCCAACAACAGTGCATGGCAACCCCCTAACTGTGCAGAATCCCCAGTGCGTGGAAGTTGTTAAACAACACCTGCACAGGCGCACACAGGCATCTTACTCCCCTTCTGAATGTACCCCCAAATCCTTTGGTATATAAAGCCCTGGCAGGATTAAGGAAGATAGGCATTTTAGCTCAGGAGACAGTACAGTTCAGAAGTCATCTTGTCCCAAAAGATCCCTGTGTCTTGTGGTTAATACTGTGTGTATATACTGAGCATTTGAATAAAGACCATTTTTGTCTGGTACAGACTTTAGTATTTAATCATTTCCAAACCTTGATTAAAAGGAGACGCACTTACATCTCTATGTTTCCAGTGATAACAAAGTTTTTTACAAACAGCCATTTGTGCATAAAAACTCAGTTTTGTTGAACAGGTTAAATTTAGTTTTTAAAAAATTCCTGGGAACTCAAGAAATATTTGGTCTCACAAAAAAAAAAAATTACGGAATATTTCAGCCGCGTGTTGCGTGAGGATTCTGATGACTGAGTGGAAGTCTGCTGCACGGGCATATGTTTTGCAGAACAAATTATTATTTTTTTTTACAAAAAGCCATTTGTGCATAAAAACGCAGTTTTGTTAAACAGGTTAAATTTAGTTTTATAAAGCTTCCCAAAAACTCAAGAAATATTTGGTCTCACAAAAAAATTAGGGGATGTTCCAGCTTTTGCAAAAATAAAATGCTGTAGTATAATTTGCTAGGCTGACTAAAGAACTGAAGAATCCAAATTCTCAGAAAAACTTGTCCTTGTACATCTCTGTGTGAACCAAGCAGGACAATTTTGGTTCACACACACATTTTCTGGAAGCCTCCCAGGCTGTTTTTTTTNTTTTTGCAGAAAAAAAAGGTTTTTACTCGACTTATTACTATATTACCTGTTGAGAAAAGCGTTCCGTCGACGGCGTCCACGCAATCAGCCACAAGCAATTCGTCGTCATAGTTGTGTGCACACAAGAGAACCCTTCGACCGTATTTCGCGGCGGCTTTCGCAGTGCGGACGGCGGCCAGGCCGCCACCGATAATCAGCACGTCGTACTTTTCTGTTCCGGAAGCTGCGGGCAGTATTTAATTATGCAACGTGTGATAATCCTGTATATTCCAGTCACGAAATACTCATCTCCAATGTACGAAATTCGCTTACCTTTAAAAAAAAAGTAATTCACACGTGAGAGAATTTTGAAAAGAATCGCGAGAGATTTTAGACAATGATTGAAAAAAATCACATTGTTGGACCTTGATGACTCGAACCTCCTCGAGTCGAATACCTTCCAAAGTCAATTTTTTTTTCAAGTGCCTTTCTGCATTTATTTTAAAGCAATGAATTAAAAACCCACAAATATCGAAGACTTTCCCCCCTTGAATCTCTATAATGGAGGCCTTTTGGCTATTATTTTATTGTCATAGGAAAAAGAAAAGCAAGCAAAATTTGACTTGATGTCCTTCGAAAGGAAGTAAAAGAATCTGTGCAAATGAACCCTTGCCTCAAAATTCAGGCCTGTCAAATCATAAATAAAAACAATTCAATGCCCAAAACAAATCAATTGTTTCATTTTCTTCATGAAATAAGACCTCTGTTTGAAAACCTGAGAGAGGAATACGTTTTAATTTAAATTATTACAAATGAGAGAATATGATGCAATTTCTTGTAGCACGTGTTCAAATGATAATTTCAATTGATTCTTGACACACGGTACTCGTATAAGTGCCATCATAAAATTTCTTTGAAGTATCAGTTTACAACGTCTAGTTCTTGTTCTGAGTTATTTAAAATTGTAATTCAGCGAAATAAAAATAAGATGTCGATGAGTTACTTGGGATGCATGAATGCACTGGTGACGATGATGGCAGCAATTTATTATAGGATCCAGAGTTGACAATGTCGTCAGGCTGCGTGTGACACGTCGACGTCAGTTGGTGGTCCATTATTGGCGACCCTTTTTTTTATCTGCTTGACTTTCATTCGGTTTTCATCGGCATTATACATCAACTCTAAAATTGCATTTTTTCCAGACGTGCTTGTATTCATTGGGTTCATAAAATTGGTTAAGTTTCCGGAGAATTTTCTGCGGTGAGGTCAATTCATTATTCTAGACGAAAAATTTCTCACTTTTGATGGTGACAGTTATTGGATGCTTGGTTTTTGTTGTTGTTGGGCACATTCTCTGTCAGGTACGTTGTGATATCTGCATGATGGGGATATCCGATCATTTGAAGCTTTAAATTTTGGCTAGAATCCCAGGGAATCTTAAAGAAATGACTGATTCAGTACTGTATATATATGCAGTATATATATATTCTGTATAAAGAGGGATACAGACGAATCAAGATGGAAAATTTGAGACTGGACAAATCAAGACAGACAGTTTGAGACAGGGATAATTTGAGACAGAAACTTTTGAAGACTAGGACATTTTGAGACAGGGAAAATTTGACACAGGGACAATTTGAGACAGTCTCAATGGACTGAAACTCTGCTCACACAAGTTTTTTTTTTCTTTTACACTCGATTTTCTGTTTTCCCATAAGATTCTTTGTGAATCTTGGGGAATTTTATATTTAATATTTGGGAATTTATATTCTTCTAAAATGTAAGTATTTGAAAACTGGTTTGTTAAAAACATTCCATTATAGTACTTGTGCGCTATAGATTTTTTTCTGTACAAGGCGTTAGGTATATACATTTGTGCAATTTTTCTTGACCATGAAGGACTATTTTGTGCACTTTACCTTTGCCAATATATAGAATAATTATAGTAGATTAAAAAATTAATCTGAAAAACCACGTTTTTCAAGTAAGCCTAAAAAGCACAAAAAATTTAGTAGATTAAAAAATTAATCTAAAAAACCACATTTTCAAAAAGCAAAAAATAACCTTAAACGTGGTGCGCATCTATTTCATTTGTATTTCACTTCTTCCCAACAATCTCCATGCACACCATGTTTAAGGTTATTTTTTGCTTTTTGAAAACGTGGTTTTTTAGATTAATTTTTTAATCTACTAAATTTTTTGTGCTTTTTAGGCTTACTTGAAAAACGTGGTTTTTCAGATTAATTTTTTAATCTACTATAATTATTCTATATATTGGCAAAGGTAAAGTGCACAAAATAGTCCTTCATGGTCAAGAAAAATTGCACAAATGTATATACCTAACGCCTTGTACAGAAAAAAATCTATAGCGCACAAGTACTATAATGGAATGTTTTTAACAAACCAGTTTTCAAATACTTACATTTTNCAGACAAGAAAGTGAGTTCATAAAAACGTGGTAAAAATCATATAGGATCTTCAGATGTTTTTTTATGTGTACTGCAGTGTATTGCAATGGATCAAGAGATGAATGAAAGCAGGGCAATGCTTCTGTCTCAAATAGTCTTTGTCTCAAAATTCTCTCTGTCTCAAATTGTCCTTAACTCCAAAATTGTTGGTCTCAGTTGTCCCTGTCTCCAAAAAGTACTGTCTCAAATTGGACCTGTCTCAAACTGACCCTGTCTTCAATTGTCTGTTTTGATTTGTCCTACATCTAAATATAGACAAGATATTCTTTCCTTAGACTTTAAAGGACTGATTCTGATGGGTCCTGAAAAATGAAATTTGAGTCCATTATCTCCTATATTCAATTTTTGGCCAGATCTTCAATTCCACATGCTGGGCACCTTTAACAGAAAATGGTTTGAAAACTTTTGAAAAATGAATAAGTAAAAAAATCCATCAACAAAAAAATTAAAACCAGCCTTCAATTTATTTAGGGGAATTCACTGGATTCTATGGGAAATGACTAAGATTCTACGCAACCAACAATTTATTCTTCCCCAAGGAACCACGAAACTGAGTCTGTAATATAGACAAAGTATTGTTTCCTATATTAAATTTCATAGAATTGATTCTAATGTGTCCCAATTAACGACGAAGAAAACACTTTGAGTTCATAGTCTTAAATTCAATTTATGTCAAGATTTTTGATTCCACATGCCGGGAGCCCTTAATAGAAAATGATTTAAAAAGTAATATCAGGTCTTTGTAAATAAAAAATCTTTTTATGCAAAAAAAATTTAATTCATCCTTCAAGTATGTTACTGATATTCTGCGGAATTTTCTGGGTTCCACGGGAATGTCAATTAAGAGATTTTTCTTTCCCAAGGAACCATGAAACCGAGTCGTGAATACTGTTTGTATAGGCAAGCTATTATTTCGTATTAGATTCTTTTAATTGGTCCTGAAAAGCAAAGCTTTTCCATTTTCTTCTATTCAATTTATGGCAAATTTTCGATTCCACATGCACGTCTGAAATCTCAACAGGAAATTAATTTAAAAAAATTGTACCAATTGGAAAAAAAATTTGATGGAAAAAATGAATTCTTCCTCCTCGACAATTTCCTTATTCCCATCCCCCATCTTAGTGAAAATCGGGGTCCTTCATTAGAGATTGATTTTAAAAATCTTGAAAAAAATAGAGTAACAGGTAAAAAAAAAACTCATAAAAAATCCTATGATGAGAAAAAACATAAGTCATCCTAACCCGACAATTTCTTATTCTCATTCCCCCAGAAGTTAAAATTGGGGTCCTTAAAAAGAGAATGATCTTGAAATCTGTATAAAAAAAAAAAAAAAAAACAGAAAAAATCGTTTGATGGGAAAAATTGACCATAATTCACAATAATTTTTCTTATTCCCATATCCAAGATACCCCATATGAAAAATTGGGGTCATTAAATGGAGAATGATTTTTAAAAATCTTCAAAAAAATACGAACAAGTTCAAAGACTATTGAAAAATCCTCTGATGGGAAAAATTGATTTCGTCCTCCCCGAAAATTCCTTTTATTATTCCTATCCATCGCATAAGTGAAAATCGGGGTCCCTCATTATAGAGAATAATTTTTAAAAAATCTTCAAGAAACATTAAAAGATTTAAAAATTAATAAAAATCCTCTGATGTGGAACAAGCTGAGTTCATCCTCCCCGATTATTTCCTTATTCCCATCCCCCACGTATAATCGGAAATCCTCAATTAATGTAGGAATATTTTTGAATAATCTTTTTTAAAAAATAGTAAAAAACGAAAAAAATCCTCTCATGGGAAAAAATTTGAATTCATCCTCCCCGAAAATTTCCTTATTCCTCCACCCCTCCCGCAAAAGTAAAAATCCAGGAAGAATCTCGTCATAACAACGTTTCCACTTCATTCCCGACCGCAAACAAAAAAAGGCAATGAAAAGATCGTGGACTAAAATTACATAATATGAACGCACCATGACCAACCCACCCACGTGCACGCGGCCCAACCAGTCCGAAAAAGGCAAAAAAAAAACAACGCAAGCCTCCTTTTTTTCTTTCTCATCATCTCTCGAAAAACGCGGAAATATTTTTCAATAAAAAAAAAGAGCTGTTCCATTAATTTTTTTTTCTTTAGAAATTATCCGAAAAAATACCCCTCGCAAATTTCCCACAAAAAAAAAATGCGACTCAATCACAACCGATTCATATATATATGATCAGCCTCCTCCTATCGCATCACACGCGGGCAGCAAACATGTTTTGAAGAAAATTAAATTTTTAGAAAGAAGTCAATTTCTTTTTTGCTAATTCTCGTGAACATGGCTGCTTAGGACACACTGCTTCACTCTCCCGAGTTTAAGACGAAATGGGCTCATTCACAAAAGACGTATATATGAGGATACAGATAAATAGGAATAAATCAACAGTCTCTGTCTACAAGTCCATTGCTGTCAAGGAAAGGATTCAAATTTAAATGTTGCTTAATTGCTTTCAAAAGAAAAAAAAGAGAAGAAAAACTGTTTCAAACGTGATGAATAAGAAGCACTCATAACCCAGACAGCCACTCCCAAGTATTCCCCGAAACCCTATCCGAAAAAAAAACAAACAAATTTGCCCATGACATCGAAAATTTTGCACACAAGAAAACGAGAGTACCTTCAAAAAAAATCATTTCTGCGATGACGTATATAAGTATAAGCAGGAGAATTAAAAAACAAAATACGGAGGCTCTGCGCAAAAAAAAATTTCTTCACTGATTTGACAATGTGTGAGGTTGTTTTTTTTTGTTTTTTGCTTTTTCCTCTTCTTAGGATTGAACTGCCACTGCTTTTTCAGCCTTGTGCCAGGCGGACATCCAGGCTTTGTTGAGGTACTTGCGGATGCCCCAGCCTGACTTCTGTTCATGGTGCGCGTCCAACGCGTCTTTGCTGTGGTACTCCATGTCATCCAGGGAAAGCACCTTCTTTCTGTGGGTCTTCAGCTCTTCAATCCAGCTTGCTATGAAATAAATTTAAAAAAATGATAAGTTGTAAATCACATATATTTTTCAAATTTTAGAATTGTTTGAAATACAAGTGGTACCTTGCAATTCATTCCTAATCCGTTGCCAAACTAGGGTCTATAATTGCAAAGTGGTCAAATTGTGAGACACCGTGCAAAATTTAGAAATATCAGCAAAAAAATGCAAAAAGTGACCAAATAAGCAGGTTGTATTCCAGGGCAGAGTTCAAATTGCAAGTCAACCTCCCTGAAAATTAAACCATTGAATTGCAGGACCATCAAATTGCAAGGTACCACCTGTACAGATGAACCTTGCTAACTTATAGAACCTTCTCAAGTCAAAAACTCCCCCATGTCATTTTTGTGTGTGTGTCTGTCTGGACTCCCTTGAGGTCAATGCAATCTTGATAGTCTTAACTTGAATGTTTCCCCCAATAAATTAAATTTATTAAAGCTGTGGATTATTATTCTGGGGACCATGGATAAAAGACAAAGAAAGCAGCTCATGCTTTTCAGACTTGAGTGAAAGTAACTCTTTTATACAATATTGGAACGAAACTTCAAAACGAGACAGTACTAAAATTAAGTAGTGGAATCGTAGTCAAACTCCAGGAATATCACACATGACAGTGATTGAATGACAGGACTTCCTCCTATTCTAAAATATGTTTTGCACAAGAAGTCTGGTTTCCCAAACTCAAAAACTCCCAAAGTCAACTGTCTTTTTGGGTTCCTCTGGGATTTGAATCAGGGAGGTTCAACTGTATTTCAATTAACAGATTTCAATCCAAGGTTGTGTGAATCATTTTATTTCATTTTAATGACTATAAGTTCCATCAAGACCTCATTTTCTTGTACAATGGATACGGTTTGATTATGGATCAATTCCTGGATAATTGACTGTCTTGCAAAATTAATGTGGACTGTTTTTGCTTTGGATAGTGAATCCTTTTCAGATGATAAATTGTATAAAAATGATTGTTCTTTAAAAAAAATTCATATGGGTCTTACTGGCATGATTTTCTTTGTTTTCCAGTGCTGTAAATAAAATTCTTTCCAATGAATCTTGCTACCAAAAATCTTGTGAAAATGAACAATTGCATCAGAGAAATTTGTCTGGATTTCTTTATGATGAATTTTTTAAAGAGCATTTTTTTACCAACGTTACATTGTTATAAAACGAAGTACAGTACGAGTTTTACAAGTACCGCTTAAGGGACCCCTAAACCTTACCTAATGGGTAATGTATACATTCAACTTTTAAATGTACATTAGAACACTTCAAGGTAAAAATGAACTCAGTTGACCTGCATATTTCAAAAATTATCTGAGTGTTTTTAAAAGATGGCTGAACATCAAGTGAGAAATAAATAAGGTTTTCAATATTTTCCTCACCTGCCATTTCTGTCACTGGAATGGTCCCTCCGTATTCCTTTGGCAGAATGCGTGTTGGCACCTGCTGGGCAAGCTTTTTCTCATCCGAATGGCCCTAAAAAAAAGAAAAATGGATATATATATATATATATAGTTACAAAAAATTCGAATTTCTGAATCAGTTTTGCATTATTGTATTCTGAATTTGAAAATCTCAATTGAAAAATAAATAGTCACGCTCATGACTAATGAAAAGTAGCAGTTATTTGATACAGAAGAACGCCTCAGGCGTGTATTAATTGTACAAATACTTTTATACCCGCAATGAACAATATTTTTGAAAATAAAGTTTTAAAATCAAGGTTCATACATTTTGAAAAAAAAGCTTTCTATAATAAGCTCAAACCACATGCCTTCAATTGAGGCTGACATTGCATTAAAGATAACGGTTTACAAAAGTATTAGAACATCATCTTTGGATGTTCTACACATTATCAGTCTTGACTTCTTGACATTTTTCATAATTTTGAAGCTCTTCATGCACTTGTGTCAAACCTATATTGCATTTAATGGGGTAAAAGCATGGTTACCTCCAGCTTTTATTTGTAAATTGTGATCCCGTTTATAAAAGTATACTGCATAAATTGTATCTGAAGTATGTTTTTTGGATGGGTATTGGAAAGCGTATCTCATCCAATATTCAAACTTTTTAGCCTGCCAGTGGGAGAAGCATATATCTGTTGCTGCACCCATTTCAAGAGAATCGTCTGATACTGTATTTGGATGCATCACAAAACAGTTCTCAGATACAGTTCTCCCATCAGATACTGTTGGGGAGTGAGTGGGGCACCTGTAAATAATAATTATAATAATTCCACACGGCACTGCTGCATCCCAAAAACTGGTCTTTCGCATCAGCCACCAGCACCAAAAAAACGAGTCCCAAAGGAATTGTAGGACGATGCACAGCATGGTCTTCGATTCCAACAAAATCAGCCAATCAGAGGCCAATATTTCGCCCACAAGGAAAACCACTTTTCCTTCTCTTTCTTCTGTCTCCAAAAACATGTAACAATGAATTCCATTCCACTGCCATTTCATGAAGTGTGAAAAGCTCTTAAAATTTCTAATTTTATCATTGTGTTGTGTGAAATGATGTGTGTGAAGTCCAAAATTCTCTGAGTTGCACTAATATTTGGGACATCATTAAATACTCAATTCTTTTGGGAGCTCTATAAAGAGGCTCCCAGCCAGTCCCAGGCTGATTGTTGTGTTTCATTAGAAATTCTCATATTTTCTTTGTTGAGACTTTTTAGTCTCTAACAGATACGCTTCCCTTATTTGCTGGGTACAGTAGCATTTATGTATTTTTGCTGTGTCAAATCCAGTAAAAAGTAAATCAAGGTACAGCAGTTCTCACCATGATGCGACTCCTGAGTTTGTGGGTCAAGCAGCTGCGAAGCAACTCATAAGCAAACCATGCACACAAAGGCAGATTCATGAAGTGGATCATCTTGTGTCGCATCGGATACGCCTTCTACATTTTGAAACATGAAAGAGAGAAAAAAAGATTAATTACAAATTTAACAAAACCCTCAGCATGGCCAATGTTGTGGTCAAAGAAAATTTCGAAAGCAAAATGTGGGTCATGCCCTGCAAATTTATTTGCATATTCTCAATTAATTCTTTTTAAAATTACACATACAGTAGAATCTTGTTAGAACAAATGAATGTTTAGGACGAATTTGTTTTTTGGCCCCTGTCTGCGATAGCCACAATTTTATTTTAAATTTGCTTCAACAGATTCTCTTTCAAGACAAAGTTTTTTTTTCTTGAAGTTCCCAAAAGCTTTGTTCTATAGCGAGATTATACAGGGTGTCACAAAAATCCCACTTTTTGGCCTTATATGATGAGAAAATCTGGAAGAGGATCTAAAATTTGTATATTTCCCAGAAAGATTTAAGAAAGGAATCTATCACTGCCTTATATATATATATATATTATATTTTCTCCACAGGAATACAGATACCTGACCCATCAAGATTTGTTATTGTTGCTGAAATTAAGAACCCACAATGACTAACCTCGCCTCTGGTGAGGATTTTTTGGATGTCAGCTGGGGTCCAGATCATGATGTTTTGCAGGGCCAAGTCTCTGCAGTCTGTGATGTACACAATTCCACGGATCTGGTTCTCCTCATCTTCCAGCAATGTCTCGATGCACATGATGAACATCTTTGCCATGTCCACGGATGTGTGTCTGGAGGGATCCAGTTTTTCTGCAAGTTGAAAATAGAATAAAGTAAAAAAAAATTGAATTTCATAAAATAAAGTGAGACCTCCACATGTGGACACCTTGACCTGCGGACAATTCGATATGGGGACACTTCTTTTTCCATAAAAAATTGATGAAAAAGGCCCAACATGAGGACATTGACTCAACACGGGGACATTTTGTGATAAAATTGCAAATAAGTTTCCGGCCAAATTATAAGAAACAGATATTTCCTACCCTAAAATTAATGTAAGAAAAATTCTTGGCCATTTCTCTCACCAATTTAACACCCATGTAGCTAATTAAAAGAAAATTCCCTCCATCATAGAGGGACTTCCTTCTCTCTTTTTCACTCAAATGTTATTTTTACAGCAAATGCCAGCATTTCTACGTACTGTACTGAGGTATCATTATTCAATTCCCCAAATGTCCATATTGTGTTGAAATATATTGATTGAATCAGTTTAAATTGGTAGACAATTTTATTTTCATGGAATTATGGTGAGTATTTTGTACATAAAACACCAATGAAAAATTATATAATGTAAGTCTAAGGTAAAATGAGACTTGACTTAGGGTAATTTCAACTTAAGGACACTCTTTATGCACCAATTACGTCCGCATCTTGGGGTCTCACTGTAATCCATCGTCCAGGTTTAAAAATGACCTATCACAATGCAAGGTTTCATTGACATTCTCAAATCACAAAACAACTTCCTTCAGACAAGATATTCAACTAACAAAATAAACATGGAGAAGTTTAAGTTAAAATTATGAGGTTAATGGGCCCAAGAAAGCATTGATTAATGCATTTTTTTAGTTAGGGGATGAAACTCTAACTAATTCTAAAAATTTATGTGGGTATAGTGGCATGCTTGCCTAACACCTCCCTCAACTAAATATCATTGATGTTTCAAAATTTGCATACTGAAAAATGCAGAAAACAGAGAGCCTTTTGAATAATACACAATATGAGTAAGTATGATGCTGGTTACTTGAAATTATTTTGTGGCCAGCCATTCTTTTAAAATCTTTTTTTTTTGCTGGCTGTTGAGTTTTAGAAAATTATCCGTTGACAATATGGCAGCTGTCGCCATTTTACATAAGAACCGTGTGGTGAGTATAGAGGAAATCCTTGATCTCGTCATACCCCCTAGAGAGAACAGCTGTTGCTCTTGGAGGCTCTGCAACAGTTGGCAAATGCAATTTCGCTTCAGTCCATTGCAAAAAAAAAAATCTCTTCCTCAACTCTATTTGAAGTACAGTACTATAGAAGCTTCACTTTGGTTGAGTAATGATTTATTAACTAATAGTAATTAAGCGTTGGGAGCAGATGTATAGGGCTTTTCAACAAAATGTTCGTGTATAGATTTTCTCGATACGGTATTTAAATTATTTTTGGCAACTGATTTTTGTTCCCATTTCTGAACTCCGTTCATCAAAATGAGTTTTCAATGTTTATCAATAGCACATACATATATTTTCTCAACATTCTATTATAGCAGAAGATTTTTCTTGGCTAACTTGAAAAATACCCCCCCCCCAACATTTTTCCTTGCGATTTTAGCGCATCTATTAAAATAACGGAGTAAAATTTGTGGTTGGACTCGTTTCAAGTCAAACAGCAATTGAAACGAATCGACGAATCGTTCGTTTTGCAAAGCATTTAAAAAATACTGTACCTCTGTCTCTTCACAGTTCATTTTTGGGATACGAAAAAAATGAATAAATGCGTCTGCTTGTTGCTGGGAATTCGCTATTTATTTTAATGAAACAAAAATTAATTTTGGCTCATATGTACTCACGGGCAATGTTGAAGATCACTCGCCGTCCCTGATCATCTCTCTCAGGCAGAACAAACACGAATCTATTTACAAAAAATAAAAAAAAAATAAAAGAAAACAATCCCAGAGTGAACATAAAAGGCATCTTCAAATGATGTACAGTGTTGAAAAAAATAATAATGAATTAGAAGGGAAAGGGGAAAACGGGAATAACGAACCCTTTGGATGTGAGTTCGTGCAACGTCGGGTTCTCAATGTCCAAATCTGCGGCCCAGTACGGGTGTCCATGACGGAACTTGAAGTACTTTGTCATGGCTTCCTTGGCTCCTTCCATGTTGAACTTCTTCATCCTCAGAAACCGCAACATGAAGGTGGCATCTGTGCAAAAATACATAACACATGAAGGATAAAAATCTATATAAAAAACCAGCCCTTTTTGTAGGAGTTAAAAGTATACCGTAATTACTCAAGTACCATGCGCACCTTTTTCTCAAATTTCAGAAGAAGAAAAAGGGGTGAACGTCAGAAGCAGGTACAAATTTTTCAAGAAGTTTTAGGAAGTTATTTGTGCATTATAATTAATTGTAATGGAGAAATTTGGAACAAATGTACCAAGAAAACTTGTTCATACAGAAGAAGTTGAAAATTGATCAGATTTTTATTCAATTCACGTCAAAAGTCAAATATTTGTTGTTATTTTTGAAATTTTGTGGATTTAGATTCACTAAAAATTGGGGTGCGCGTCTTACTCAGGGATAAGGTTTTAGCAAAATTTCCAACTGAAAAACCCCAGTGCGCGCCTTACTTGAGGGCACGTGGTACTCAAGTAAATACAGTATATGCAGACTTGAACTCAAATAAAATCACACTTTTGCAGTACAGTATTTCCTATACCCAAGTTTCCCCAGCAAGCATCAGTATAATCTCATAACAACAAAAATTCAGTACAGTATATTAAGATATTTTTCAAAATTTTGGCATGTTGGGGACTGAGGTGCACAGGCAGAATATAATGAATAGTAATCCTCCCTAATCCCGAGAACTGGTCCTTTGTTTCTTGGAGCCCAGCACCAAAGCACTTGCCTTCATACCTTAAATCCCAAAACCTGTAAAGGTGGTGCCCCACAATTTGACCCTAATCCATTGCCAGGCAAGGGTAAAATTGTGCAGTGGTTGAAATGTGAGGCATTGTCAAATTCAATGTTTTCTGCATCAAATTTGACATTTTGAATCTCTTTGCAGGTCAAATTGCAGGGCAAGAGGGTAAATTGCAAGTCAATGTCCTAGCAAATTTCACTGTCAAATTGCAGGATGGTCAAATTGCAAGGTACACCTGTAAACCCCTAAGCAATTGTCATCTTTGAATTTGCCTCCCAAAGCCAATCAGAAACACAGAAAAACCCACTCAAGGGAAACAACTTTCCTCCTGTTCCTTCTTCCTCCCAAAAATAACACATAATTCATTCCACTTTGCCAATTCTCAAACTGAATAGAGGTACTGTAAAAAAAATCTTGCACTGCTTATTCCTGAAAGACTTGGTGTGATTACCTTGTGTGTGTGTGATTACCTCGTGTGTGTGTGATTGTGTTCTTCAAAATTTCACTGAGTAGCCACATATTCTGTTTTGGGACATTAATAAACCAAATGCTTCTTTGGTTTATTTATGTTATTATTAACTAGAAAGAAATCTCACTTCTACAGTAAAGTACTTCCTACCCAAGTTTCCCCAGAATACAACCAAAGTACCATATTTACTTGAGTACCACGCGCAACTTTTTTCTCAAATTTTAGAAGAAAAAAGGGGGTGCGCGTCATAAGGGGGTACAAATTTTTCAAGAAGTTTTAGGAAGTTATGTGTGCATTATACTTAATTATAATGGATTTGAAATTTTGTGGTTTCAGATTCACTAAAAATGGGGGCACGCGTCTTACTCAGGGATAAGATTTTAGCAAAATTTCCAGCTGAAAAACCCCTGTCTGCTTCTTACTTGAGGGCATGTGGTACTCAAGTAAATACATGGTATAGTCATTTGCAAGAAAAATTCAGTACAGTATAATAAAATGTTTCTAAATAGTCCCTGCAGAAGGCCAAAAGAGTGCATGCTAAAACAATCTCATTATGACAAACTTCCCAATTAATTCCAGCATAACAAACTCAATTGATTATAGGCAGCAGGTTTGATTTTGAAAATTGTTCCTGTCATTAATTTTGAAAATCTTGTCAAAAATAATTATTCACCTCAACAAACTTTTCTGAAATCCCCAAAAGTTTGTTGTAATATGAAATCTTACTGTAGCTCTCAAATTTTAAGAATAAAACACTCAAGTCGTCCATTTTTGTTCATGTTTCTGTATCCATCGTTTTTATGAACATCATGGTTTGTACTGTGTCGCAAAGATTAAATCGCACCAGTTTTTATTGTCGCTCATTAAAGCACTGAAATTTTCCTTTCGAATTTCCAAGGCAAAGTTCGAACGCATTTTCAAGCATTTCTGCAGAAACTGTGAATAGAAAAAAAGTCATTCAAACAACGCTTTGAACGACTATAGGGAAGTCATCAAATGCAGAACAAATTGACTCTTGTTCAGGAATGCGTAAGCTTGTTCTAAATCTGAACCCAATCTCCACAGCTTTCCAGAAGCAGGTGATTGTGAAAAAGGGGTCACTGGAAAGTAAACACAGGAAACAGATACGTAGAACAACGTTTGCTTTTCTAAACCCCCCCCCCCCCCCCACACACACAAAACATTCCTTTCGGGAAACTCACACCCCATAAAACAAGGAAAAATATAAAGAATTGGGCGTCGTCTCAACCGAATAAGCATTGCTTTTCTTCCCCATCTTTTTTCTTGATGAAATCTTAATTACATAAAAGTGCACACTGCATTGCTTTCATTGTTTCCGGGATGAAAATAAATACAGGGCGAAAAATTAAACGAATTTCAAGCACAGTATTTGGGTTTTTTTAATCAATCAGGTTGAACAGTAAAATAATTTTCCCCCACGTTTTATTATGGGTTCTCTACAAAGAAATTTTCTTTACAAACAATTCAAGGGATCAAAAATGCGTTGTTGACATAATTTTGTTGTAGAGAACAAGAACCCCTAAAACTTATGTAAAACATAATTTCACTGTCCAACGCGGTATCTAAAAAAATCCTGTACCTGAAATTATTTTATTTTTTTTTCTACCCTGTAATTTATTTTCACTCCGGAAAAATTATTTAAACGGTAAAATTATTTTGCCTGAAAAAATGTTCATAATCTTTTTTTCAAATTTGGGAAACAAGTACAAGTGGACTCTCTCCACAACGAAATTTTCTCTACAATGAATTAAAGGGACCAAAACTGCGTTGTTGAGACAATTTTTGTTGTAAAGAACCCCTATAAAACAAATTCAATGAAGAGACCCTTTCTGAAATCTTGAAGGATCAAGATAAACTGTTGCCTTTATATGATTTCTCATCAAAGATTCTCTGTAATTTGTTCATTCAACTAAACCTCATACAAAAACAAGCTGAAGACCTTGTGCTTTAAATTAATTTTTACATATTTTGTTACCAATGTCAGGGAATGAATGTGTGTATGCATACATGTCAGATGTCCAATTGTATTTCATGTTGTATTGTATTTTCTTTTATTTTTGTTATCAATTTGTGCTTTCCTGCTATTTTTGTTAGCAATTTGTGCTTTCCTGCTCTGAAGTGATTAAAATGTTATTGAGTGGATTTGGGTTGGGTGGGAAGGGGGGTTTGGTTGTGGAAATCTTGAGTGAACCTTATGAACGCTGAAAAGCGGCAAATAAAGTGTTCTGTTTATTCATTCATTCATAAAACGTAGGGAGAACATATTTTTTTTACTATTAAACGCAATAGCTAAAAGAGAACAAGCACTGTTCCCAAAAATCGTTTATTTTGCAACCCTGTATTTCATTTCATCTAAAAAAATTATTTCATCAGTAAAAATATTTGACCTGATTTTTTTTTTCAAATTAGGAAACTAGTACAAGTTAACTCTCTCTACCAAAAAATTTTCAAGGGACCAAAAATGCGTTGTTGAGAGAATTTCTTTCTAGAGAGAGTCCACCTGTAATTGTTTCCCGAATTTAAAAAAGAATGTTGAAATTATTATTTTTTTCATGCCTGTTGTTGGAGTTAGACCAAAACCCCTCATTATTTTACTACTATGTATAAATCGGTCTAGTTTTTTTTCTGGTGCACCCTGTACATACATATATATATATATATATATATATATGAAGTTGGCCACGTGGAGCGGAATTAAAAGGTGCAGCAGCAAAGAGAGAGAATTTATACTAGAATCCATGTCCGCTTTTGCAATCTTTGGGCTCTAGTCGTCGGAAGGATGCAGCTGCTGGGTAACTGGGATAATTGAAACCCAGCCCTTTGAGTTGCACGAGATTCGTTTCCAAACTTACCAGTTCCTGTCCTCCTTCTGTTTCTTTTTTTCTTGTTTTTTTTTTATTGTCGAAACTGGGCATCGTTTCAAAACCCCGGCGGCAAACCGAAAAAGGGGTGAGTTACTATTTTACGCACACCTGGTTCGACGATAATGAAGCAATCACTTTTGACGTCGTTTCCATTCATTTTTATGAGAAAACTGTAGACAGAACATTGTTTCATGCATGGATTTTTGGGTGAATGAAGAAGATTTTTTGTGTAAATTTTTCACGCGTCTGAGAGAAAAAAAACTTCCTCATAGAGTAAGTTTAAGTTATGAAGAGAGAGAGAAATTGATTCAAAACAAGAGACATTCCTTCCAGACATATTTCGTATCGGTCTTGTGTTTTTTTCAGAGGTCTTATTTTTTTCATTCACATGTAGTTTAAACAGGATAATATTCGACTGTTCCAATTTTCAAGCAAATTGAATTGCGAGTAATTTTGAAAAACTGAATGTAATTTTGAACAACTCAAGCTGAAGAGGGACTTCAATATTTTGACCTGAAGTACACTCAAAAGCTGCCACAGGCACATTATGATAACCAAAGAGAAGTCAAATGAATTTTTGAAGCCAAATTAGCAGTTCTTGTATTAAATAAAATTGCAAGAATAATGAAAATATAAAAAAAATCACTGCGCAAAAATATTAATTTTAAAAGCCTTAATTAGCTAATTTTAATGAATCCAAAAGTTTAGAAAATTTAAGGTTTCACACTCAAATTCCTTGGACTTTGCCATGGAAAAATTGAATGGTTTTGGATAAATGAAATATGATTTAATTTTTCTGAATTCTTTCCAAACCTTCAGAAAACTACAATTTGTTTCAACAAATCATCATCGGCTCAATAAAATCATTCTTGAATATTTTAAGTGAAATAATGATTGTATAATGATGAGGAAAAAACCAACAATGACTCATAATACTGAGTTAAGTTTCTGGGTGCCACTTCCCTTAATTATTATATACTGTAGACTTATAGAGAAACCTTCAAAATTTTTAAAATTATTCTTGAAGTGTCACGGAAAATATCAAATCAATTTGAATGTCATTTTAAAATAGATTCCGTAAATTTCGCACATTTCATGGAATTACTTGAGAATCTACGAGTTCTGCCCAATAATGCAAGAAATAAAGCTGTATTTTTAGCAACAAAAAATTGCAAAATTTTTTCTTGCGCAAGTTTAAAAAACTTCAATTTGGCTCCAATAAGTATAAAAACATTCAAATGCTGGTGAACCTCAATAACTTAAACCTCCCTAAGTCAAACACCCCACTAAGTCAAATTTTTTTAAGGTCCCCATCTCAATCCTCTTAGAAACAATACATTAGAAACCTCCTTAAGTTGAAAGCTTTTCTCCTCAAACCTCCATTAGTCAAATTTTCTGTGGCCTCTTTGCCATTATTTTTTTGACCCAAGACAGAAAAAAGCAACAAAAAAGCCACAAAAATTGATGTGTTTTAAAGGAAGTCCATGACTTAATTGGGCAAATGAAATCATGCCTCAAAGTTCAGCATCCTTTCAACTCATTGAAGAAGCCATTTAAGCCCCAGAATATGATGATTTACAATGTTGGGCAATTTTTCTAAGTTTCCCTGAACAGAAGGGCTTTATTGTATGTAAGCTGAAACCTCAATAATTCAAAACCTCCTTAAGTCAAATTTCTTTGCTGGTCCCTTGAAATTCAACTTAAGAGAGGTTCAATTGTAAAATAAACAACACTGATTAACTCTATAAAGCTGTTGAATTTCAAAGAAGTCCTCATCAAAGGTGCCATTGAAACTTTTTTTTGTTCACTTTGGCATCATCAAAGAGGACATTCTTCTATTACGCTATTTATATATATATTTTTTTTTATATTGTTGCACGAATTACGCAAGAATTCAATCAACGAAGAGACGAAGTCCAGAGGGGAAAAATAGGAAAGCCAACCATCTGCAGCTGGAGGTTTATTGTGACATTTCACACCAGAACATTTTTCCTTGGTCCATTATTTCATGATTACGCCTCGGGCCAAGATCCCCTATAGCTCTGGATTTTTATACTAATGGCAACACACGTGTTTATGTTTATTCTTTGTGCGTTTGTTTTGTGTGGAAGATTGGCTTTTTTCAATGTGATTCCTTGTATATTATATGGAATTTGTTTCTTCTGAAAATCTCAGCTCCAAAAATGAATAAAAAATATGCTGGGTCTTTAAATGCATGAAAGGAATTTAATCATTTGGTAGGATCTTACGTGTGATGAATGTCTTCGATTCGCGAGATGAAGCACATGTTTGCATTTCATCAATTCCATGCTCTGAATGAAAATTTTGGGATATTTAAATATTATAAATCCTTCGTCTTTCCCATTTTTAACGCAAGCTCCACGACGAAAGTTTGAAATTTGATTTTGGTACAGATACTTTTGAGGAGATTAATCTAATATAATAATGTCTGATGCACGAAAACCAAGCATCGCATTTTGTAAAACTTAATTAGTTTCTCTATGATTATTTATTACTCCGCTTGGAAAACTTTATATTTGCAGGAAAATGTTCTGATTTAACCGAAATAAATTTTGATTTAAGAAATTCACGTGCAAATTCTGGGACATTTTTTTTCGATCGAGGCAATCTTGATATAAAATGTTCTGGAAGCAACTTGTTTCCTCGACGAAGTTTGCTGTAAAATATTCCAATAATGAACATTTAAATTTTTTGTAGGATCTTGTAGGACAAGCTAGCTTTTATCTACGCAAATTCGAAACGCTCCATGATTTAAAGAAGAAATCAAAAATCGTAAAAATGAGCCTCTCATATTTCCTTGACAAAAAATTTTCTACACCTTCGAGAGAAGTGATTTTAGCAATGATCACGCCTTTACAAACATTAACATGGGAAGAAATACGATTATTTGCATTCCAAAAGTGAGACGTGCTTTTTCAAAAAAAAATTGAAAATCAAAAATATTAGCCTCTCATATTCTTTTGAAAAAAAAATTGAAAAACTTCCAAAAAGAGTGATTTTAGCAATGATCACGGATCAAAATGAAAAAAATCCAATATCGGAAAAGTACGCTTATTTGCATTCCAAGAGAGAGACGTGCTTTTTTCAAAAAACGATCCTCTCATATACTTTTTTGAAAAACACAATTTTCTACACTTCCGAGAGGAATAATTTTAGCAAGGATCACGTATCAAAATTAAAAAAGCCAATATTGAAAAAATTATGCTTATTCACAATATAGAAGAGTAGAAGAGAGACGTGCTTTTTTTCAATAAACGATCCTCTCATATTCGTTTGAAACGCAAAATTTTCTACATTTCCAAGAGAAGTACGTGATTTTAGCAATGACCATCACGTTTCAAAATAAAAAAAACCATCATCGAAAGACAGATGCTTGTTCCCTATCGGAAATAAGAGAGACGTGTTTTTTTTTTCAAAAAATTGAAAATCCAAAAAATGATCCACTCATTGTTTTGAAAAGCAAACAAATTTGTTGGAAAAACAAAATTTTCAAGAGAAGTACGTGATTTTAGCGATGATCACGTTTCAAAATGGAAAAATGCCAACATTTACAGAAAGAAGTTTATTCGCAATCCGAAAGAGAGACGTGCTTTTTTCAAAAAATTGAAACTCCAAAAATTGATCCTCTCATTTTTTTGAAAATAAAAACAAAATTTTCTACAGTTCCAACAGCAATGATTTTAGCAATGATCACGCCTTTCTAAAAGAAAAAAATCCAATCACAGAAGAGACGCTTATATTTTCGCAATCTTAAAGAGAGACCTGCTTTTTTTTTTAATTGAAAATCCAAAAACAATAACCTCCTATAATATTCCTTTGAAAAATAAAATTTTCTAAACCTTGGAGAGAAGTGATTTTACCCATGATCACGACTTATTTCAAACAAACAAACTAAAGAAGCTAACATCAGAAGAAAGACGCTTATTCGCAGCAATCCGAAAGAAAGACCTGCCTTTTTTTTCCTTCTTCCTCTTTCATATATATACCATAGCAAAGTGATGAAACCATGAAAGATTTAGTCAAGGATGGCAGGAAAGAAAATATGGAAGAAAAAGACGGCAGACGTCTTTGAAATACAGCCTCAGGCATCAGGTTCTACGCGGCAATTTTGAAACGGGCTGCTGCTGAGGTAATCACTTCTCGTCACTTCGAGGGCAAGATATTCATGAGGGATGAATGCGAAAAAGAAAAGAAGGAAATATACCGTGTATTTTTTATTATCATTCTCTTTCGCCTCATATACTCGTGAAAAAATTCCTCTGGTATTTCGAAATTTCCTACGCTAAAACGTTGCGCACTTTCTTTGATCATTTTGAAAATGACGATAAGGCACAAGAAAAGGATTCGTCAAAAGCTCATGAAAACCGAGGATGGCTTTTGTCTCCATTCTTTCCGATCTTCTGCAAGGAATTCCACCTTGATGGTTAAAATAATGGATGGATTTTTTTTTTCAAATTCAAGCACCTTGATCTTTAGGATTACGAGATTAAATTAAACTGTAATTGCAAATACATTTTTGCTTTCATGTAAAAACATTGGAGCCAAAATTATGCTGGAGCTCATTAAAAATGATTGAACAAAATACCCAAGCTTTTATTGGAATGAAGCCCAGGGAAAAATTTAAGCCCAGAATATCACTATTCAGGAATTCCTGCAATTCTTTGTTCAATCCCAAAACAAAAATGCTTGTTTCCTTGAATCAAAAACTCTCCAATGCCAAATTTTTTTTTTGCTGGTCCCTTGAAATTAAATGTAGAGAGGTTTAACTGCATTAGGGTTGACAAGGCAATGAAAAGCATCCACCTATAGGCAACAATGGCTAAAGACTGTGTGATGCTTTGCCAATGCCCATTTTTGATCATGGCAAGTTACTTCAAGTTGTGCTTAGTAATGGCCTCATGCTGTGATTTTTGTGATTCTTGAAAACATTATTATTCATGAAATTATATTTACTGTGTGATGTACAGAATTTTCTTTTAATACCTACATCATGAATTATTTTTGATAGGCTGGAATGTGTTGAATTAACATCTGGTGGAAATTTTGTGAACCTTGTGAATGGTGACAAATGACAGCAAGTGATGCTTCTATATCATTCAATGAATTGCCCAAGTGTTTTATGCACATCAGTACAGTATTAGAAGTGATATGGTAATGAAAAGCATCCACCTATTTGGGCAGCAATGGCTGAAGGCTGCATATGGTCCTTTCCCCAGCAGTGCCTGAGCTCTTTGATCATGGAAAATTTTACCTAATTTTGTGCTCAGTAATTGCTTCAAGTTGTGATTTTTCAATTCTTAGAAAAGGATTGGCAATTCATTATTCTTGCATTTGTATGTATTTTCTATTAATACCTTTGCAGGTACTGTATAGTGAATTACTGTATTTTTGAAAGGCTGGAATGTGTTGAATGGACATCTGGTGACAATTTTGTGAACCTTGTGAATGCTGACAAGTGGCAAATGAAGCCTGTATATTAATCAATGAATTGCTCAAGTATTGTCTGCACATCAAAATATACCGTACAGTATTAGAGTTGATGAAGGAGATGAAAGGAACCTACCTAGGCGACAATGGCTAAAGGCCGCGTGGTGCTTTGCCCAGTGCCTGAGCTCTTTGATCATGGCGGCCCGCTTGTTGGGATCCTCACCCAGCTCCTGCGCTGCGAGTGCAGCCAATTCGGGACTCAGCCTAGCGCAAGTGTCGTCTCCGTAAGCATCCATCAACAAGTCACTCATGGACGCCTCGGAGGCGGTCGTCGACAAGGACGGGGACGAAGTTGATTCCTCTTCATCGTCTTCGTTGTAATGAGTGTCGGCTGCGTCGTGGAAATAATCATCGGAATCGTCGTCAGAGTCTTCGCCGTAGTCTTCATCGAATTCGCGGAGTTCGGGCGCGGATGGGCTCAGTGGGATTTCGTGGTCGTCGTGTGGCGGATGCGGTGACATGACTGACTGAGCTTTATGTCCCCACTCCTTCTAGGCTAGTCTCTTGTCAAATTCCTTCTCTCTTTTTCCGTCCTTCCTTTTTCACGATACAAAAAAAATTGTAAAAAAATCCCCCTCCTTCAGGAGCTCACAAACCGTCTCCTCCTCCTTCACGGTTTCGCCGAAATCAGGCGCTCTTCCGCGTGGAAAATACCTGCGAAGAAAGAAAAAAAAACACGAAATTTAAAATTACGTAAAAAGTAAGTCAAATACTCGCAACAAACGTCGGACGCGCGATATTTGTTCAACGACCGACCGGAAAAAAATAGGCAAAACTATCAAGCGACAATATCGTCTGAGCGATTTGAATTTTACCATCGCAAAAAATGCTAGTGTAATGGAAATGTTCTCAGTCGTCTTTCGAGATACTGTATTTCAGAATAGGTTAAAGTTTCAGTAATTTCATCGGGAAGGACATTTCAAAAACGAAACTACGCGGGAGAAAAAGTTGCCACCTGTTTCCTAATGAAGGTTGAAGCGGTTAATGCAATGGCTGTCCTTGTATCGCGCGCATTCATCAGAGAAACTCTTCTTTATTTAGAGTGTTCATCTCAAGGTTGTTTATGATATTTCAAAATTTACTGGATAGCTGTTCAGAACAAATGGTGATACTGTATTCGTCAAACGATGACGAAAAATTAACTTCCTGCTGCGGAATTCGGAAGAGAATTTAATATTGTGAAATGAAAAGCCGCAGAAATGTTTTCTGGAATCTAAGAAACATGAAGTTATAATTTTTTTATTGAATACACTTTCAGGATGGCGATATCATAGTTACCGTTCAGTAAGTGATTCCATCATCAATCTGCACATTACAACATACGTATTCTCGAAAGGACAGCAAATGTTTCCAACCTCATACATCCAGGAAAGTATTCAGCCTATCGCCAATCTGCTACAGTCGATGATGCCAGTGGCCATTATAAATATTGTATGGATGGATTGTGAAAAGTGTTTGGGAAATCGGAAAAAAAGTATCTGAAAATACTTCGTTGAGTTATAGTTTCTACACGTTTTGCGCGACTGCGTCATAAACGTGAGCAGAAGCTCACCAACCAGAACGCACACAGGTTTCCACAGCGTCATCGGAAGCAGGGGTTGCGTTTTTCCCCAATTATTCCCTTTTTCACGTGGGTTGGTCCAAAAGTTCTGAGAAAATTGTGCCGTTTTTCAACAACAAAATAAGGTTGGTCTTTGATCAATATCCATCCCCTTAAAATGTGATAAGGATTTGTTATGAGCATTATTCTTTTATTCCTCAATTATTTGCATTTTTTTTCTCCTGGGTTGGTTCAAAAGTTCATAGAAAATTGTACAGTTTACAGTGCTTTCAAATTCAACTTTCTAAACGCTGTGCAGGGAATGCAAGAGTCAACGAAATAATTTCAAAATGGGAGAGACTCCACTCCTAAAAGAATGAAAACGTTCCTTATTTTTTTGTGAAAAATCCCACTCCTTGAATTGTTTATCAATTTTCAAATCGCCCTATGTACATCTATTTTTTCCCTTTCCTGTGGTTGTTTGTGTGTGTCAACGCGCCAAACATCACGTTCTTTTAAGTATATTTTCCCTTTTAAAAAAACGAGAGAAGAAACGCAGGAAAATATTCAGAGATTTTTCTACGTCGCTCGTCTTTGACAGGTGAACACTTCGAAAGAGTCTCACGCTCTGTGGTTTATTTCCGCGGTTTTTTCGACTGCACCAGGAAAAAAATACTGGGCTTCTTCAGCATGTGTGAGCGAAAATAGCGACCTTGAGACGTTGTGTCCTTTTTTACACGCAATCTTTTGAGGTATTTTTCAGGGATTCTTTGACCAAAAAAAGGAGTGAACAGGCTGCGAAAAATTATTTTGCAAATTTCTGACACGAAATCCTCAAATAAACTTCACTCATGATTCACATGTACCTTCAATTTTAGAACGCGCGATCTGATTATAGAAGTATTTCATAACTTTCCAGTTATTTAATCTCATAAACATAAAATTTATGACTCATGGGTTTTATGGCAAACTTTCTTTGGAAAACATCGAAGAACTTCTCATTATTATTGACATCATTCATAAGAAGATCAAGTTTTCTACTCGATAAGTATAAATTACATGCATGAAAAGTAAAGATTCCTAATATGTCCATATGCCAAATTGAAAACATATTTGTTCAAAGTGGATGTTGGACTCAATGCTGAAATGTACCTGAATTCTTGATTTTATGTGATCTAAAGTGAGACCCCAAGATGAAAATGTAATTGGTCCATCAAGTGTGTCCCAAAGTTATTGAAATGTCTCTAAGTCAAGTCATGTTTTTCCTTAGACTTACATTATATATAATTTGAGTTGAAGTTTTATGGGAGAAATATTCATCAGAATTACATGAAAATACTGGAAAAAATGGTCTGCCAATTGAAACTGATTCAATCAATAACTTTTGACTCAATAAGGACATTTGGAGCATTGATTACTGTACCTGTGTACCGTACATTGAGATGTTAGCGCTCTCTGTAAAAATAATACTGAAGTCAAAAACAGAGAGGGAAGTCCCTCTATGCTGGAGTTACTTTTTTAAATTAGCTAAATGGATGGTAAAATGATCTGAGAAATGTCAAAGAACTTTTCTTGCATAGATCTAACAGTTGGAAATGTCAATTTCTTGTAATTTGGCCTGAAACGTATTTGCAATTTTAGCGCACAATGTCTGCACGTTGATTCAGTGTTTGCATGTCAGGCCTTTTTATGCATATTTTATAGGAAAGTAAGAGTCCATATGGGCCAAACTGTCCACATGTTGAGGTGTCCACATGTGGGGTCTCACTGTATAAAAATTTTAGCCAATTCAGCAAGAATATTGAGGCAACATTTTAGTGGCAAGAAATCAAAGCATTGTGAAACAGCAAAAAAAAAAGCATTGAATTTCTGAATCAACTTTTAACTAAAGTTAGTTTCCATTATCTGTAGTTTTCATCATGGAAGTCTACTTGTTGAAACTTAACTTTATTAGCCTTATTCATAAACGCCAAGTTGACAAAAAGGTCTAATAAAGAAAACAAAGTACCAAATTAAAAAAATACAATTTTTGCTCAAATTCGTTAGCTTTGTGATACACTAAAATGCTAACTTGAAGTTCCTTTTTCTATTATGCTATTAAAAAAAAAGAAGATGGAGTTTCTTTTCAAAAGCAGCTTCCTGATTGCCAAATCAAGAGGAAAATTATCAACACTACTGATGACCATCTGTTTGTTGTGAGGAAGGAACCAGCATCCCGGAGTGAACACGAATTGTGTAAGTACCGCGAGGCAACTCGTCTTCAGTACTTTTCCAGCAGTCAGTAAACATTCAAAAAAAAAATAATCCCTGTAATCCATCTATGCGTAATTGGGAGAAAGGAGTGGAAAAGAGTGAACTCTTTCGAAACTTTGAAAAACTCACGCGTCATCCAGAGGATAAAATAATTTTGCGATTTCGAAACATCGATTTCTTTTCACATCGATTCTCCGCGCGACAAAAGCAGTGCTATTCTATAGCATATTCGACCAATCTGATACCTTATTGTTATAATAATCAACCGACTATAACACAGGGTCTCAATTATGATTCAAATTAACCATAAAACGCCATTGAATTCAACAACAATTTCCCAAGCATTAATTGAACAAATTACGGTCGATATAAATATATTTATAAAAATATGTAAAACATTTTTTGAAGTGACATCTTCTCCAAGTGTTCACCTAAAAATTAGCCCATCATCACAAGAAAATAATTTCCAGAAGCTTCGATGACTCCTTGGAATAAAATCGATTGCACATCATGTCAAAGCGTGCTGAATTACCCCATCATTTGCGACTGTCTCAAAGGAAAGGAAAAATCATCAAAGATGTCTGATTGAACTATAGAATGCCTTCAGAGAAAAAAATTCGTTTGAATCGGAGAAACTTCACAACCGATGACCAGAAAAAAAAATGCAACGTCATGATGAGAAAACGCTTGAACTTCCCATCGTTATAGTGAAAATAAACCGAGTCATCACGTCGCCATGACCAGAGTAAATAATTCATGGAAGAGCAAACAAAGAAAAAATGCCATTAAGAATATTCCTTGATTTAATTGACGATGAGCTAAAAAAAGTCTGAAACCATTTCCGAAAACCTTAAAGCGTAGTTCAACGTAATTTCGATACGAACGTAAGTTTTAGGGAGTTATATAATTTATTAAAAACATCTTTAAAAAATAAAGGAGCTTGAATGTTGAGCGAAAAAATAATCTAAAAATGCTGAGCATTCGTCTGAATTTCCTGATGATCAGATGTATTCATTTTTTGCAAAATTGGAATTTTTGAAAGATTCTCTCGAAATTTTGATTTGAAAACCCCATCCTTAATGTTTTGTTCCGAATACCTTCACTTGATTATTATAAGACGTACTCATTTTGATCATGAATAGTATTGTGAATTTATTTCCACTTTTTTGATTCAAACTAAATGAATCCGATTTTCGTTAAAGTCAACACTTTCATACAAAATTCTGGAAGTTCAAAAATATTTTGCATCCAATAAATCGCTTTAGGATCACTTGATGAAAATAAATTTGGAACCAGAGCATTAAACAGGTGACAAAAACATTCAATTAAATAGATAACATAATATCAACGAATGACACACTTTTTCTCATGGATGGCCTTTTTTGTGGAAAAATCTCACCAAAAAAATCATGATGGAATATATATTCCTCAAAGTTGCCCTAAAACAGGTTTTTCCAAACAAGATACACGTACATTCTCCGAACACTTATGATAATCTCACCTGACCCAACCTAGTTTACTTCTGAGTTGTTTCTGGGTATTTTGAAAATTAAATTAAATTCCTTATTTGGTAGGAATTTAATACCACCGTCATTCTCACGCAAGAGACTTTTTTCCAAGTCCTGTTCCAAATGTGGAAAAAGAGTTGCTCAAAGAACTTCCTGATTTGCTGTTGTTTTTCAAAAAATAATTTCTTGCTCATGAAACTGAAACCACTTTGAATATTTCCACAAAGATAATACCTGGTTATTTTTCTGCATTGTTTTTGGCACATGACTTGACAAAAGTCCTGGTTAGTCTCCTAAATCCTGATCTTGATGAATGATAAATTTAACCATTCAAGGTGAAGAAAGCTTAAAAA